GGCACGCAGTCTGCTAGACTAGGCATTGAGATAGGTTCCTGCCATTCTGCAAGTGAGAAAGTGAGAAGTTTGTAAAATACAGGACACAAAAGCTGAAAATTTGAGGAAGAATAATTAAAAACTGCTGATTGGGGCACTGAAAGAGAAGTTAAATTTGTTCTGTGACTGACTTCCAAATACTGGCTGTAAGCAAAATTATCACCCTACACTAGTCTTTGGGATTCAACTTTACATGACCATAGTTCTTTATGTGTGCATGTCTGTGTGTGTTTGCCCTGTTTTTTGCCCTGCTTTTCTTCAAATGTGTTAATTTTGGGGGGAGGCTAAAAATCAAAATGATCTATATGCATCTTTATTTCATATTAATTCTGTCAATGTTTTCATAATCCAGCTTTGGGAAAACAAGCATTTTAGGCAGACCAAGGCAGAATATTAGTGATACTAAAAACAAAAACATCAGTTAGGTCAGAGATTTTGTCTACTTTGTTTTAGATTTATTTGACAATCATCTGTCACAGTGGGATATCATTAGTATAGTATGCTCCTGATACTCAGTTATATATCTCCAACCTGGATGAAATTAATGATTCTCTGGATATTTTTTCATGGTGCCTGGAGGCACAACAGACTTCAGCTGAACCTTGTAAGATGGAATGGCTGTGGATGGATCCCTTGGCATCCAGTTTATTATCTTTGGTTTTGGATGGGGTTGCACTGGGCTCACAGCTCCTGCTCAAACTGCAAGTGGCACCTGTGGCTAGGAGTGTCTTTTGCTCAACTTCCTATTGTGTACCAATTACGCCCTTCCTGAATAAAGAGACTCTCTGCTTGGTTACTCATGCCCTGGTCATCTCCCATCTGGACTAGTGCAATGCGCTCTACATGGGGTATCCTTGAAAAGTATCTGGAAGCTTCAGCTGGTAAAGAATGTGGCCATGCGAGCAATCCTGAGAGCCCAAAGAATTGTTGTGTGAGATGAACTAGGTGCCAATTTGCTTCTTGGAAGGAATGTTGATGACCTCATGAGGTAAAGAATTCCAACTGGTGGGCCCTGGAAAAGAACTTTCTCTGCCATTGCCCCCATCCTTTGGAACCACCTTCTCTCCCCCCCCCAAAGAAGCCAGGCCCCTACTCTCTTGACCTTCTGGAAAGATGCAAAAACATGGCTCTGTGGCCTTGCTTAGGGAACACAGAGGAACTCAACTTGGAAGAATCCTTTCTTTCTAGAGGCTTCAAGAAGTATGATGACGTTTTTTGCATCACAAGGTGGAAAAAGGAGGGGAGGGGAGGTATATTTTGCTGGACAGAGAAACCTATATATCTGGATTTAGCCCTCAGGACAGAATTTGTCCATTACTGGTATGACTGCCTTGAGTATGTCAATGGGCCAAATATATTCACACAAGCATACATACTAAATGATTGAAATTTTGCAAGATCTCTTTTTTTTCCACCTTCCCAGCATTTTCCCCCACAGACACAGTTTTTTGATTGCAAAAGAAATTGACTGACCAGGTTGTTACCCAAGCCTGAGAGACTGAGTGACTGGCCCAAAGTCACCCAGCCAGCTTTCATGCCTAAAATGGAACTAGAGCTCACAATTTCCTGGTTTATAGCCTTAACCACTAATCCAAACTCCCCAGGAAATTTGGGAGATCTTATGAGAGACATGAAACTCCATGCCTTTTTAAACAGTCTTTGTCTTTTATCCTTTTAAAATGTTTTTTTTTTCTAATTTTACATTTTAAGTACACACTGGAGGGTGATATTGGAACCCATGATGTTTGAAATTAATCAGGCAGAATGAAAACTTTACTAATCCTCAAGTCCATCCCAATTTACCTCATCATGTAATTTCAATGACCATAAAAAATGTAAAGGTGTTTCTAAAAGCTATCTCTCTGAGACAAGACAGTTGTCTTTAGTTTAGATTAGGAATTGACAAATTGACAATTGATAACTTTTCAAACTAGCTTCTAAGTTAGGTTAAATAGAACTTCCACATTATATTTGAACAGTCCTTCTGTGTTGATGTTCATCCACTTTGATATTGGAGGAGATTCCTGAGAATAAAGTGGACAATTAAGAAAACAAATTCTCACCTGAGATATACATGTCCAGATTCAAATTATCTTACTTCAGACACATTATGTGAAGGCCTAGCTCTCTAGAGAAGGCTCTAATGCTGGAAAAGGTGGAAGAGTAGAGAATGACCAGCAACAAGGTGGCTAGATTCAGTTACAGTGGTGATGAATACACTGCTAGAAGACCAGAAAGAGCAGATTAGAGACCGATCCTTTTTTATTTAAGGTGTCACAAAGCTCTTTCCTGTTTAAACCCTTTAATTTTATCCAGGAGAACATAAAGCATTTGAGTTAACTATTTGATGACTGAAGAATAAGAATTTTGAGCTATTTCTGAAAGCAAATCCCAGCCATACAATCTTGAGTAGCTGGTCCAAGTATTTCTTCCATTATGATTAAGGATAAGTGAAAAGGGATTTGTTACAAAGAATAGGTGGGAGGAGGAGTTTGCCAATCTATCAAGTGTTTCCTTGAAATTCCATTTTAAGTGCTCAGAAGATACCATTCAAATTTCAGGCTAGTTTCTAAACCAAATTCTTTGTGCATTAGAATACAGTATTTCTTTTAATGCTGATAAGAAAATAAGCATGTTTCAAGTGTCTATGGAGATTCTCAGTTATCCAGATCATAGTTATCCCAAAAATGCTTTTCAAAGGCAACTGGACTTTACTTTTAAAACAAAGTCCACTTGCCTTTTGAAAAAGCACCTTTGGGACAAGCATGCTTCAAGATTATCTCTTATATATTAACATGCTTCAGGATTTTTAAATTTAAAGAGGCAGATGTCAGTCATATCATTTAGCAAAGCATGAATTGTTTTAACACAGTAAAATTTTATATTTAAGTATATGTGTGTGTGTGTGTGTGTATCCTATCTTTGTTTTTATAAAGAATTCAAGGTCACAAAATACCTAATACTCCCTCCTCTTCCCATTTTCTTCACAACAACAATCCTGTGAGGTGGGTTGGGCTGAGACAGTGACTGGCCCAAAGTTACCCATCTGGTAAAAATGCATAGCATTTCTCTATACTTTATGTACCACACTTTTTTCTTAGCATTTTTTTCAGCAAGTGCAACTCTTGTGGATCATTGTTGATCCACAGGTTGCAACAGGAATAGACTGACAGGCCTGTTGTCTAAGCCTGATGTTGTAGGCTGGAGAGAATGACTGGCCCAAAATCACCCAACTAGGTTGTATTTTTCCTATATCCATATGAATATCAATTTCATACCCAATCAGTACCTTTGTTATATTTTTAAAACTATATGTACTGTATACTGTAAGCAGCCTAATAAAGCAGAATTCTATTATCATTTCAAAGACCAGTGACTTTCAGAAAAGAGTTAAATTTCAATAATTCCCTACTACAGGGAATTAGGGGATGGAAGGAATGTTTTTCACACAACTATTATATATTCCTTTGTCTGGATTCTGTTCAGGCATCTCATGGCCTGTTATCTGCAAAAGCTTGTGATAATAAACATGGTGAACCTTTATGACAAAGTTTGGTGATAAATTTTAATGATAAACTTCCCTTTTTACATTTTTCCTTATAATAATGAAAAACCAATGAAATGTTAGACTGATAAAGGAACAGAGGCAGAAATAATACGTAAGTAAATAACAGGGGTAGTCCTCTTTGAATCAAGCTCTTCCTGCTGAACTTTGTGGACCAGTCCTTTTAGTTTGTCTATCCCTTTATTCCCCCACCCTTTTCCAGTCTAGCCAACAATTCTGATATTTCCTTGTGGTCTCCTATCCAAGTACTAACCAAGTCCCAACCTGTTGTATTTATTTAAATTTATATAGCCACTTATCTCACCTACGTGATGTAAGTTAAAAATAACAGTACAGTAAATAACCAAAAGCATAACAAGTAATAAAATATTAAACATTTAGCTTTCCAAGATTACCTAAGGTCGCCTAGGTCAGGGTTTTTCAACCAGTGGTACGGGTACCACCTGTGGTACATTGGCACCTGACAACACCGCACAAGCCTAAGCGAGAGACGGCTGGCACTGCAGGGCTGTCAGGGCTCAGCAGAAGCGCCAGGATCAGCGCCAGGCTCCAGCTGGAGCTTGGCGCTGATCCTGGTGCTTCTGCTGAGTCCAGAAGAAGCACCGATCAGCTGGAAGTTGCAGCATCTCCAGAGTCTTGTGATTTACATTCATATGCTTGGCAACTGATTCATATTTATGACGGTCACAGTGTCCCAGGGTCATGTGAAATGACCAAAACCTGCTGCAACCACCCAGCAGACAGGAGGAATAAAACCAAACACCCCCCACCCCACCCCCACTGCCAATCCTCAACAGAAATGCTTACAACCGAAACCTCGAACAGGAGGAAGAGCACCACAAGGTGGGCAGGCAGGTGCCTTGCTCAGCTGTGGCTTGGGGGGCACTTTTTTCAGTGCTATTGTATCTTCGAACAGTTACTAAGCAAACTGTTGTAAGTCGAGGACTACCTGTACTTTATCACTTTTTTCCTTTTTGGGGGGAGGGTCAAGTTTTTGACACCTTGGTAGGCGACTGGTGTTACTCGGATATTGCCATATTCTAAAAGTGGTACATTGAATGAAAACGTTGAAAAGCCCTGGCCTAGGTAGTGCCTCATGGCCATGTTATCCAACAATACGTTTCGTTAGGTGTTAATTTCCACGAATAAAACGCCTAAAGTTCGTAATCCTTCTTGGGGAGGAAACTTCAACTGAACTCAGGACAGGCAAACTCCTCAAAACAAAATGCAGCTCCAGCTACACGAGTCCGTCGCTCCTTTTGGCGCTGGGAAGCACCTCCTCGACCCCCCCCCCACAAAACTGCAACAGCGCAACTCCAACCGCTCCCCCTCGAGACAGACCGAGATAGGAGGAGCAAGTGACGTCTCGGGAGGGGGTGGGGTTTAGGCAAAGGCCTAGCGCGGGGCAGGGGAGCGTCGCTGCTTTTTTGCTGTCGTTCGTGTCCGTCGGCTGGGCTGGAGAGGACGGAACAAAGGGAAGAAGTCCGTGCCGGATCGGCGATGGTGGGCATTCCGGGAGCTTCTCAGTGTAAGATCCTCCTCCGCGCTAGTAGCGATGCTGCCTCCATTCTTGACCCTTCCCTTTTCCTCTCACTTAGCGCTTCCCACGTCTTAGGACCACAAGCCCGAGCGACGCCGAGCTCTGTGGAGGCTTTGAAAGCTGCAACCCCAGAAAGGGGCTTAATTCTCCGTAGACGTGGCTGCGGCAGGCTGGGGAACTTGTCTCCCTCTGACATTGCCCAGGCAGTGTGCGCGCACTTTCGCTCCCTATTCCGCTGCTACCCGGGCTTGGATTTCACTTTTTCCCACCACTTTTCCTTTGCTTCTTTTTTATCTCTGTGGTTGGAATAACATTGCGTATCCTTCTTTACTCCTGGACCTTCTTTTCGCCGTCCTCTGTTCTCTTGTTACTTCTTCCCTCCCCTTCCTTCTGAACAGTTTCCACATTCATTTATACCAGCCTTTCCTAACTTGGTGGCTTATGGAGGTGTGCACTATACTTCCCTTCATCCTCAAATGAGGATGATGGGCCTTGTAGTCCAACACATCTGGAAGCTAACTTAGTTAGAAAGTCTGTTCTGTAGGACCCAGTTTATATCAGGTAAGCAGCGCCTTCTCTTTTCTAAATGGTAGTTTCTTATTTTCTGCAAACCCATTTAGGGTTTTGCTTATTGCTTTTTGGTACTCATCTGAGGAACCTTTCCTCCTTTATTCTTTCACCAAGAACAATTTTTGTAGAAGTCTTTATTTTCTTGATTTGTCTATAGATTGGGTTATTTGGATTGTGCTGGTATATGTTTCTGTGACAGCATTGGGAAATCAGAAAGAAAATAATTCAATGAAGAACTGATTTTTACAACTGATTTGCTAAAACATGAACTAGGCATTGACTCTGCATTTTTCATTCTTGCCAGTTAAAATACTGTGCAATTGTTTCTCCTCAATAATACTGGAACAGAAAAAGGATGCCTGCTTTGTGGAATAATCAGCTTTATTAAATAAATATGTAAGAAGCATTTGTATTAGCATTACAGACCTGAATTACTTTTGGAACTATTAGGAATGCCTGGAAACATTCATTTCCAGTAGAGAAATCTTGCTGTTGGGGCCAATGTTATTAGTTTTGAACAGCTCAGGTAAATGTGATCTTAAATATTCCCATCTTGTTGTTTGAGAATAATAAAATATTGAAGCTTTAAATAACACTGCCTGTCCTAGGTTTAAATTTACATGTTTCACCTTTAATCATGGTGTTTTGTGGTGTGTTTGTGTATGTGTTTCAAATTTATCTTCTTCCATGCTATTTTCTCAGTGGAAGGAAGTTATGAGTTTTCATTCCTTTTAAATATGGAAAATAACAATGACAATATTTTAAGTTGTACATAAATCTACAGAGGTCAGGTTATTAGTTCTTTATTAGTACCATAGATTAAAATCAGCATATTACTCATTGAAATCATAGTAGAAAGAAAAAATAATGCATTTTTGGAGGGAGTACAGTGTGTACTATTATATTATTCCATCAGCCCAAGTGGCTTTAAAATTTATTTTAAAAACAAACTTGTTAATCATCTTATAGTCAGCAATCTTTAACAACATTATGCTCAAATGATTGTAAAATTTATTAATCATTGTTTGATAGTGTGATTTATTCCAGCGTTACAACCTGAAAATATTCAGTGGTCAAAGCTGTTCATCTCCAGACAGTATTGCCAACTGGTTGAGGATGATCAGTTTTGTAGCCTAAGATTGTTGAAATACGCCTGACTAGAGGAAAATGATTTATACCAAAGTTTTGATCTTACAACATGTATAGTGTCATAATCCTTTGTGGTGCTCTGAGACAGCAATTTTTATTTATGCAAGATTTAGCGAATCAAAATAGAGAACTATTTTGCTAATTTTATTTGTCCATTTCAGACACTTATATTCTACATTTTATGGCAAAACTCTTAAGGCAGCTTAAAACAAAGTCATAATACATCAGGTAATCAATAATCCTGCACTTTAAGTTGGATATTACATTTGAAACCATGCTGAATTTACTCATTAAGTGTCTGCAGAATAGTCCCACACATTTCTCTCAAATATGGGGGATATTGGCTTTCTTTCTCTTTCTCTTGTGCCTACCAATCTAATCATCTGATATAAAGATTGCCTTATGAACAGAAAAGCTGTCATTACCTGGTCTTGTAATATACAGCAAGTCAATTTCAGAAATTTAAATTTGGCCTGGAAAGATCTGCATAAATACATAATCAGTATAGTTGGCATGCTATAATTGGCTTCACAATTTTGCTTGCATTTTATGAAAAAGTTAAAAGACTGCAATATCTATGTTGCAAGCCTAATAATCTAGAAATATATAACATTAGAGAATCCTTGCTAGATCAAACCAAAAGTCTGTACAATTCAGCATTCTGTTTACACAGTGGCTAACCACATGTTCTTGAGTAATACATAAGTAAAATATGGGATGAGTGGCATTTTGGTAGCTACATTGAAAAGCACAGTTCCTTCAATAATATAAGTGATACTGAGCTATTATGATTACTAGCAATTGCTAGCACTATCTTTCATAGATTTATCTTTTCAAGGTGTCAAAATGGATGGCCATCATTAAATTCCCCATTTTAATTCTGTGCTTAATTTTACTTCTGTGCTTTATTTTAACATGAATCATCAGCATGTTTAGGAGTTATATTCTTTTTGATGTGACCAGAATTTTAATGATATTCAAATACTATTAATTGAATTTAAATAAAAGTATTATACTAGTGATTTTCTAAAAATATAATTTTCTACTGATGTCCCATATATGTTTGCCAGTGTGGAATAAGCATATATAGGCTGGATGTTTGGTACACTTTTATTTTATCCTAGGATCATTTTCCTCATTCCATTAACATATGTGTGAAAGATCTCCCATTATGTATGACATTTTATATGGGTATATATTGCTTCCTGCAGTGATGCTCATTTTCCCATATATTGAATTCTTAGAGATTTTTTGTTACTCCTTTGTACCACTGAGAAATTGCTTTGCTCAGACTTAATTCCTGTTCTAGTTTGATCAGTAATCTTGCTCTCTGCTTCCTATTACTACAATATATTTATGGGTCAATTTCTGATCCATCAACCTCCTCACTATTTCCCAGGGTTATTAAATTTGCTTAGAATGTGGGAGCCTTTATCCACTTAAAAGTCCAAGATTTGGATAATTCCAAACATATATTATACTTAACATTCAAAGGTTATTGGGGCATACATTTGCAAAATCATGTTTTGCATTACATTTTACAGTAAAGGTTGTTTTTCTGAGTACTGATAATTTTCTCTAATACATCTTCCCTAGTTTCCCCAGAATATATGTTAATCTGATCCATTTATATATATTTAATCTAATTTTAAAAACTAGCATTACATTCGTTCCATTTCCTAGTTTAGTGACTATTCCTAGTTGATCTTTTATTAGATAATTAGGGATTTTATATTTTAATTCTAGAAAGGTTCTTAGATAAATACTATCCTATCATTCTGTTATCACTATTTACCTTGATTTACTTCCTGAACATAGCAATAGTTAACCTATTTGTATATTTTGTAAGATCTGCTTCCTATGTATTAGTGATTTGGTGTTTATACTGTATCCTTTTTCCTTTCAATTTTTCCTAATTTGCATATCAGTAGTATTTCCTTCCTTCCGCTTCCTTTTAGTGGACACGCTTCCTTTTAGTGGACACGGATCTTCAAGTCATTCTTCAGTGCAGTGGTCATGGTTATATCAAAGGTTGTGCTGAAGAACAGCTCATCCCTACATTGTAGTAGACACCCATCTGTTCTAAAAACTATTAAGAGTACAGAGACATTGTAGTACTCTATTTGGCGTTCTGACCCATTCTAACAATATTTCAAAAACATCTTAGTTTTGAATTTAAAACACTTCCAGAAAGATACAAACAACCTATTTTAAAATTGAGGCAATTCTTTGAAATTAGAAATGGAATGTTTTCTACTTGAAACTTTTGCAGACATTAGTGAGAGGTAAACATTCTATGTAGTTTATTTTGCTATGGCCAAAAGGATAAGACTACTTAATATGCCATTATTAGGATTCAGTACAAAGTTACATGTCTCTTCTTTTTGACATGAATTTCCTGAATAGAATTTATTAGCGGGTGTGTTTCTATTCATTTAGATGACCATTGACCATCTTTCCCCACTACAGATGTTAATAAGTATAGAAATAATTAAGATTACATTGTTGCCTATTAATGCTCTTTGGAATGAGCACTGTGTTTGCTTTTTGTATAAGCAATAAAATAGTATTGTTAAAAACAATTACAATTCCATGCATTTTAGGTAAATTTAGTCCTATTTATTCCATAAATGCCTCAACAATTCTGCTTGCATTTGTTTGATGCTGTAAAGTAACATATCTCTTCTTCTGAAAATTCTTATATCCATTCCTGACAGTTCAAAACACACAACATCTTGGCTTTCTGTACTCTATTTTCTCTTAAATGAAGCCATATCTATTTCTCCCTCCCCATCTGTAGAAATGTTCCCATTCTTGCTGTTGCTTGTGTCATTATAAGAGGGTTCCTTCTTTGTCCAGTACTTCTATCTTCCTCCTCCCAAAATTGGAAACTTTAAAGTAATTTTCCAAATATTTTTGTATTGTTTTCCTGTTACAGTAATGGTTTTCATAATAGCTTTATATTCTATTTAAAACTATTTTTTTCCTTTTTTCACAATTCGGTGACTGAAATCTAGAAAGGTCTAATTAAATAACATTTCTGTGGTTAATAATCTGACATCTGAAGGAATTGGAGACAGGAGAGTGGATTTGAAACATTTTCCATTTCCTAGATGTTATTTCCATCTCTGTTAATGTAACTTCAGAAATATTTTTGGTATTAAACAAGTCATTTGAAGCTTGCTGACTCTCTAGTCCTGATCTCAGACAAGTAGCTATTGTGATTTTGTTAATTATGATTAGCACTAGTATCATGCTGCCATAAATCT